CTAGGCGTGGCAACAAATGAGTCAAATTTGGATTTATACATGTCAAAAGGTTTTTCCTCGTCATGGAACTATTGTGCAAGCAAGAGTTTCAACTTAAAATTGCACCAATAAGTAAAATAGAGATATTTCTCCACTTTGACAAAAGCTAAAAGAAAATGTTAAAATCGCCTATGAGAATAATAATAAGCAGATTTTCATCAACATCCAACAAGCAAGTCTCCAGCCACATGCCACGAATCAGAGAAATGGGTTTAGATTTTATCTTGCTTATCGTGGTTAGGAGCAAAAAGGAGAGATGGCGAGGGGGAAGGCGTGCTCTGGGAGAGAATCGAATGGGAAACATGTTGTGCGTGAGGGGAAAATGAGGGTTTTAACATCAAGCAGTAATTGGCGCAGTAGGAGCGGGGCGAATGGGGGCTTCCATCGCGCGAGAGGGACGCATGCAAGCGGGGGTCTTCAGTCGAGCGCTAGAGTTTCGGCGGGATGAGGAAGGCGATGGCTTCGGGGCGAGTGAGACAAGCCGACAGGAGGCAGAGGGCTTCGGGACGAGTGAGACAAGCCGAACAGGAGGCAGAGGGCTTCAACTAGGCTGCGATCGAGAGAGGAAGGGAGTCGGATGAGGAAGGCGATGGCTTCGGGGCAAGTGAGACGAACCAAACAGCAGGCAGAGGGCTTTGACTAGGGCTACGATCGAGAGAGGAAGGGAGGAGTTCAGAATCTGCCTGTGAGGAAGGGGAAGGCCGCGACAATAATGAGCCAAGTTAGTATCTGCCCGTGAGGAAGGGGAGGCCGCATCCTATAACTGCACTTTCAAAATGTCTGTTATAGGGCATTAGACAAGGAATTGATGAATTTACATTTGTGGGAGAATTTTATTTGGCTGGTAATAACTTCGAAATGAATTTAATTAGGGTGAAATTAAATCATTTGAAATTTAAAAATTTAAATTTCAAAATTGCTTAGCCCTTGTTCAGCCCGAGTTGAACGTGGGTTGAGCCTGAACTTGCGCCCCACTAATTTAAAAAATGTGCATCAATTTTTGTGTCGTTTGCGCATGCGGCACTATAGTAAAATGAGTGTTATTTTTAGCTAAAGCTGACGTTCTGGATGCATCCGTGCGGTCCGTTTTGTCATTAAGGGTCGTTCGGACAAGTACGCCGACGATCAGGTCATTCAAGTCAACATCGTGCTTGGTGCAGTGAGTGCGTAAATTGCGGCATTCGCGAGTGTTCGAATGATAAATGGTTTACTTAACGCCTCCTAAATCCCGTAGGAACTCATTTCAGACCCTCCATACGTTGGTCCTTAACCCTTGCAACTAAAAGTTGAGTGCTTGGGACAACTCATGCGAGGTCTTCATAAAAATGAGTCAATAAGTGGTGTGGAGTTCTACGTGAGGCGGGCTCCATTACTAGTCCGCTAAGATGGTCCATAAGAAACTTTTAAAGCTAGATTTTGGGTTATATGAGTAGGAGACTAAGACCTCACTGAAAATAGGGTCAACACACGTGACCATGCCTCACACAACCTTGCAACCCTTTTTCTTTCATACACGTGATTCTCCCTCAGAAGAAATCGATGCCTTCCTCCTTCACCGTAGCGGCAAAGCTTTAACTTTGCAGTCGTCTCTGTCCTGCGACTCGGTTTCACCAAAATTCTCTCTGACAAAATTGCTCGCCATTCTTCCCTCTCTGCCCTATCCTTCGCTAATCTCACACGAACTCAATCTAGCCGAGCCGCCCTTTATATGTTCACAGAAGGCTCACCTCCTCATCATTCTTCTCTTTGTTTGCACAACTCCAGAGTTTCCTCTTGCGCACACGCTGCCCTAACTCGAAACCGAGCTGCATATCCTGCGTAGAAGACGCCACACCTTCTCACCTGTGCCGCGATACCCTTTTCATGCCCTCAAGCCACACAATCCCAATAGTGTCTCTGCCCTAGCCTGCATCCGAGCTTTTCTTCTCTTCTATCGCTGAACCTTGTTGTTGCTTGCTAAACAGAGTCGCCATTTCCACAAAATCAAGCCCGACCCCTTAAACCAGAGCTAGACCCATTGTTCTAGCACTGTTGTTATTTTATTGTTCATTCATTTTTTATTTAATTTTTAGTATTATTGTTGTTATGTAATTGAATAAAAAATGAGATATTCATGTTGTTTTTTCATCGTTATTGTTATCATCAACATCGTCACCGACAACATCGAGGCTCAAACAGGTATAATGTCGGGGCAATGGGACAAATTTTTTTTTTTTAAACCTCAATTCGAGGAGAGTATAGTAGGTACCTGTTAGGCTGGTAACTTGTAAACTCGTTTGGAGAATTCTTTTAAAATTGGGATTCATGATTTCCTGCAGGTATAATCTTGTGGGAAATGGGAAGTTTTTGAAAAGCCTCCGTTCTAGGAGAACACAATACCTGTTAGGTGGGGAAATCTTGAACTTGTATGGAGAATTATTTAAAAAAATCAGGGAGCTCTTTGTTTGTAGTATAACCTTTTTTGCAGGTACACTGAAGGCTCCACAACTTTTGAGATTGTGGGTTAAATGTTTTTTTCTCCTCTGTTGCGTCTTTTGAGACCATGGGTTGAAAACTTGGATTTTACTTCCCTACCGCAATATTTTACGACACTGACCAAAGATTCTTTTGAGATACATGTGAAGGTTTGCACCATCTCTTGCCCCTTAGCGGGAGTTGACGTCGGGAGGTTGTCCAAATTTTTGGTGATTTGAACTTATAATTAATTTAAAATTTTAAAATATTTGAGCTCTTATAATTAATTTAAAATTTTAAAATATTTGAGCTTATAAAGTAACATAAAATTTGACTCATTCAAATTTTAAAATGATTTGAACTCTAGCTTTCAAAATTTAGGCTCTTGGAGTTTTAAAATATTGGGGATCTAGGTTTTTGAATATTTATGATGCGAGGGTTTAAAATTCTTTTAAAAAAAATTTGGGTCTTTAAAGCATTGACTAATATAGCTTAAAGCATTAAAGGTTGATTTTAAAATATTAAGCTCGTAAACCTGAAAATTAAACTTTTCATACTTAGGCTCTTAGGATTTAAATATCAGTTTAAAAATTGGGTTTTCTGACTTAGGCTCATAGGGATAAAATAATACAAATGAGACCTTTTGAAATGTTAAGATCCCACCACCAAATTCGCAATACACCTTGTGAACGGAAGGCGGTTTCTTTTTTTTTTAAAGACAAATCATATTCTTTTACAGATACTTTTAAGTTCTCAATGATTTCAAAATCTCAGGGTTATCTTCTAAGTCAAATGTGGTATCTTCAAATGTGAAATACTTTTAAAACTTGGAGGGGTTTCACTTGAGTTCTTTTTTATTTAAAAACAAATCATATTCTTTTACAGATACTTTAAGTTCTCAATGATTTCAAAATCTCATGGTTATCTTCTAAGTCAGTTGCGGTATCTTCAAATGTGAAATACTTTTAAGACTTGGAGGGGTTTCACTTGAGATATTTTGTAAAGTTCATATTAAGTTCATATTCATGCAAGTCTTTAAAGCTGATAAAAAGATATTTAAATATGTGAAATTTAAATGTCCGCATGTGCTCCAACCAAATATATCGAATGCTTAAATATTATGTTTGAGATTGTTGCGCTGGCTAAATAGACCACCTTTTCTAGGATAAGGTTGTAAGTGTCACCCAATTAGTCTGGTTCTCCTCACAAAGACTTGAGTTGATGAGTCTAGCAAGCCCTTATAAATGTCAAAATCCCAAAGTAAGAATTTAAAAGTTCAAATCACCAAACTAGTTTGATTTTTCTTCTTGTAAGGAAAGGAGCCGACATGACCTATACCCTAAAAGTCTAAATGCCCACTTTAAGTATAAATGTTTTGAATGCCTGATGCCAGCTTAAAACGGTATCATGTACAATGAAATATAAGGAACCATTTTGAAAATCTATTGAAGGTGGTTTTTGGGTGCATTGTAGCACAGTTTCTATGAACTGGGAGCTTTCAAAGGACGAGAGTATTGCAAGGCAAATAGTATTTTATCAAGGATAAAAAATTCGAACCTCAATACTGCTTAGGGGCCGTTACACACAGATAAATCTTTCTTCTGATCACAGATCACTATTTTGGCTTCAAAGCAGAGATCATTAAGTTGATGCTAACATTAATCTTTTCATTATTTTCTTGATTCTACATGAATCTATTTTCTCTAATTATGTGATCAAATTTAGAATTCTTAGATTTTATCACGTGGAAAATCTCAACTATTATTTGTTTAAAAAAATCTTGATCTCATATTTCTAAAAGATATCCTATATAGTTGCATCTGATTTAAGGCCATAGGCATCCAGCCCTCCAACTGAAAGGAAAATCAAGTGAAAATTTGGGACTTTTTTTGGGCAATGATGACCTGCAAGAGACTTCTTCTCAAGTGACTTGAGTAAGGTAAAATATCAATAGATTCAGTTCTCTTGGCTTGGCGACAATTTTGTTGGGAGTTCTCAAGGTCATTGGTAGGGTGGAGGCTTACGAGGGAGCTGCATTCCACATGTGGTTTGGTGGCCAGTTTTAGCATGGGAGCTTGGGGAGGGTGGAGGCTTGTGAGAGAGTTATGTCTCTAAGGTGCGGTGCGCTGTTTAGGAGGAAGTGGAGGCTAACTTTAAGGACCATCGGACTTGATGTTTGTTAGATGGGTGCACAAGCTTGTGGAGTTGGGTAGCAAAAGATTTGACATCCAAATGGCTGGCTATCGAGGTTGTTGTTAGTAGGTTCGTCAAGGTATCAACGGCAATCTCCTGGAAGTTTGTAGTGTTTGGCAGATGGCTGGTGCTCTTTATAGTCGCTGAACTGTGCAGGTGACTGGCAATAAGTTCTGAAGTGCTGGCAACTGGTGTTAATCAGGGAGAAGACATGTTTTTCTAGGGTTTTTATGAAGGGAAGAAGAAAATGAAATTTGTTTTATTGATGTACTACATAATAATGTTATTACCTGATTGCTTTTACTGTTTTTCAGGTTCCATTCTGGAATTGAGCTCATAAGGACGGACAGTCATTGTGCCGATTCCCATCTGAAGCTTCTGTGGCACCATTCCGATGCAATCACCTGCTGTTCTCTCAAGGCATGTTTTTTATTATACATTCAATATTATGCGACTACGAAGATCCATGCTTTCGCACATTGTAATGGGACTTTCTTTCTTTTCACAGGCTTCTCCATCTTTAACCTTCGCAAATCAATCTGGCCTCGACATGCTCGAAACCACGCTGGTTGCTCTGCAAGACATCACACTTGAGAACATTCTTGACGAAGATGGCCGCAATGTCCTCTCGTCTGTGTTTCCCAAGTTAATGCAACAGGTATGCAAATATGTAGAACTAGTTCTACATATGTCATGAAAAAATCATTTTTCTTGAAGTTATTGGTATTATATACTTGTTTCCGTTTTTTGAAAAGCCAATTTCCACAATGTTTTAGCAGAGCTTGTTAAAATGTTTTTTACAAGAAAATTATGCCACAAAAATTGTAAATCTTCTCTTGCAAATTTCTATTTTTTTTTTATTCTCCTTTTTGCCCATCTCTTTCCAGGGGTTTGCTTATCTTCCGGCAGGCATCTGCATGTCGAGCATGGGCCGTCCGGCGTCCTATGAGCAGGCTATGGCCTGGAAAGTTCTGGATGAATGCAACTGTCAGCATTGCTTGGCCTTCATGTTTATCAACTGGTCATTTGTTTAATACACGCATAGCAATTTAGGTTTCTCCTTGTAACCAGTAGGAGTATGATGTTAGCGAACCTCTGCTGGAGTGACAAATCTAAATGATATTGTTGCTTCCGCAAAAGTTTTGGAAAATTGTAAATTACTCCGTGCAGTCTGTTGTTTATACGTGCATAAATGCTTTTGGGATATTTATTATCCTATAGAATTAAATGGTTAATTCAATGATTTTTTGTTTCTTCTGATTTTATTACTTCCTGTCCTTTTTTTTTTCCTTGCCATTGCAAATTGCCTGAACTGATTGAACTCAAGCATGTACAAATTGCCTGAATTGATTAAACTATGACTAATGTATCCGAACCACTACCATATGGTTATGATTGTTCGTTTTTATAATCTCATCTTTCTTAATTCAGTAGAATAATTGTACCAAACTTTTTGTTTTATGTTTGCAACAGTGTAATCCACTTTGAATACCACCTCCCATACAAAACAATACCAATTGGGTAAAAAGAATGTAGCAGTGTTTAGAAACGGAGAATTAATTTTGAAACGATCCGTATCTATAGGATGCTTTGAAGAAGCAGTACCATTTCTATGCAAAGTTTTGTCGAAAACTCTCTGCTGTCCTATGCAAATGGCTCATCCAAAGTTCCTCGGCGAGCCTATTACATTAGGAGATAGAACATGATTTAACCCTGAAAGTACATTATATGCAAATGATGATGAAAATCAGCATTCTAATATGCATAGGACAGATAAAAAAAATGTAATTTTGATATTTTTTGTTTGGGCTGGGTTATGCGTGGGCGGGCTGGGTATGACTGTCGGGATTTGATAAAGTCAAAGGTGGCTCGGGCCGGGTAGGCTTGCAAATTTTTTTTTTTTTCCCGTAGCATTCTCATTTTGAGGAGGAATTATTGCGTGCAGACACCGCATGCATCTCTGCATGCGGTGTCTGATCCTGGCCGTAGATCACGGTGATTTACGGTCAGGATTATTTCTATTTTTTTATAAAAAAAAATTAGGTGGGGCCCATCAAAATACATTCTGATCATAGATCACCTGATTTACGGTCAGGATCGGACACCGCACACACAAGCTGCGTGCGGTGCCGATCCGTATGGAATAATTTTTTCATTTTGAGCGGGCTTATGATGAATCTGTCGGGCCACCCGCCCAGTACTCAGGTCGGCTCATACCACTTGTTTTCTTTTTTCCATTTTTTCAGAATTTTTTCACATAAATTTTGATTGCTTTAGATTTTCTCTCCTCGATAATTTGGTTGCATGTAAATATTTTCTCGAGTCTCTATGTAAGAAATCATTACTTGCCTCACATTGTTAAGAGTTATAGTAAGTTTGTACTAGTGAATTCATTTCAAGTGGCTCAACTCTTAAGAAATCTTCCTTATTAATTTCCTCCAGAAGAATGTCAGAAGAGTAACTCCACATAATTGAACATCCATTAATGATGACTAGCCCATTAGAATTTAATATGCTCTCTAATTTCCATATATCGATTGGACTCAGTATCTGTGCATTGGCCCTTTTTTGGGCCTTTGCGTGTTGAATTGGTTCATTTACTCAATGGCCATATCTGGCATGTTGGTTCTTGTAGCTTCCTTTGCGCGGACTCATTACGCAATGGTCAAATTGCTCTGGTGCTATTACTTCATGGGTCTGGGTTTTTTTATTTTTTTAAGTATATATATATACTTCGATGAAAATTAATATAATGTCCGTTAATTGATTGTTGGGCTTTTCACATATCAAATATCATGAGGAGCGGGCCTGTAATACTGTTTCATTTGTACCTCCAAGCCCCAACATACATAGTGCCGACTATGATTTAGCTAAGACCTCGCCCCGTGGGCGGAAATTATTGCGTCCCGTATTCTGACGTTCAGATACCGCTTCTGTCATACAATATACTTTATGATATATGTGGCTAAAATTACATGTAGGATAAGAACGTCAATAGACAAAAAAAAAAAAGAAAGTATAGTCATAAAATGTACTTTTAAATAAATTTAATTTAAAATTTGAAATAAATAATATAATTATGCAGGTATTTAATAAAAAAATATTAATTAAAATATTCGGTGCTAGTACTTTCCTTCATTTCCACAATATTAAAAGAGGGGGAGAGAGAGAAGGGGGGATAAATATGGTGCTGCATTAATGTCTGTAGGCCTGGAATCCGATGTTAGCATCATACACGTTGTAGATAAAGACCTCCTGCATGAAAATTTAGGCAATGCTATTAATGGGGGGGAGGGGGCTATTATTTGGATCACATATAATATAATTATATCTTATACAAATAATGCAATTCCCGGAATATTTAGCCATACCCGAAATGCCAAAACAAACATAATTAATGTAGTATAATAAATAATAAGTGATGCATGAGAGAAATTATAATGCGACTCCTTCTCAAAACTTCATGCTCCCTCAAATCTCAAGCGCACCCCTCCTCTCATGAAAAGGGCGAAGCTCTATTTATAAAGTTTCATGTACAATTAATGCAGAAATATGAATCACTTTGATCGGATGGTCCGGAGAGTTACATTTAATGTAGACGTCGTTTGATAGACATTTGAATGCCTTAACGATGTCAGAATCAAACCATTTTGAGCTCGTTTGATTCATACTGTTGAGACGCTATATTGGACTCAAGCTTGCCAGATTTGACATTTATTGGACCTTCAAATATCCTCGGAAAGCTTCAAAAAATGATTTTGATGCCTTGAATTGACTCATATTGGACTGATTTTTGTACCATTGGGTCCCACTCGTCAAACTGATCATTTTGACTATAAGTTTGCTAAATTTTGAGCTCAGAATAATTTCTAATTGAATTTCAAAAGTTTTTTTTAAATTATCTCGAGATTTATGTTGAATGATAGATTTATTAGTGACATATTCATCATGAATGAATGGAATGAGCCAAACTTTTGGTACCACATAAATTTGCTAACTTCCATGACATGATAACAAATACTAAAGATGATAAAATTTGCCTTTCCATAATTCTAAATAAAAATTAATTACACAATCTGTTTTAAAAAAAATTTTAAGAAATCTTTTTTTAATATTTTTGGAACATTTTCATATATACTACATAATTTCTATATATTTATATGTCCAGCACCTAAATTCTTGACGTCTCATAGTTTTTAAAATGTAAAATATTGATTTTTATGGATATATTTTTAAGAACTGTGCTATAAATGAAAATATTAAATTTTACATGTCACATTAATAAATAGATAAATGCATCTAGTTTCACATTAACTTTGATTTAAATATATAATTTGATCTAAATGGATTTAGCCTAAAAATCCCACGGTGGGTCCCAATGCCCTCACGAGAACACGTCCTCTTGTCTGTTCAGCAGCTCTCAAAAGAAAACAAAAGGGGTGCAGTCTAATCAAAAGGAGTGACTTTAACATCATTCTGCCATAAATTTGCATTTAATCGAATCCCAAACGAATTTGGGTTCCGCGAGAAAGCCCTTTTTGGCGGGTAAAGCCCCGTAAAGAAATAACGGTGCTTTGCGCTTCTGTTTATTTATATATTTTCAGAAATACCTTATAAAATCAATTATTTATAATAAAGATAATTGTTTTATATAATGATAATTATGAAGAATTCTATAGTTATTTAAAGTATTAAACTCTCTTTGGGCCTATGTCGCAGAACCTTTATGTTAGAAACAATCTATTTATAAAATTGAGAAGAATATTTTGATAAATAAAATAAAAAGCCTCACTGGACTCATCTTGATTCTTTTAGGGCCCGTTTGGGCAGCTTATTTGGTGCGGTGGCATTTTGAAAATGCACCTGACCTGTTTACGTAAACGGCGGTTTGACAGCTTATGCATTTTCAAAACGATGAAAACAACGTTTTTACACCGCACCTATCTAGGTGTAGTGACAACTTTCTAAAGTTTGTCTTTTCTAAAAAAATAAAAATTTGTAATAGCCACCACACTTAGATTATCGGTAGATTATTTTTAATCAGCTGATCAACAGATTATTCAATAAGTTATAGCTGCCCCAAACAGACCTTTAATCACAGACCAACTTACAATATTTAAGTGTATTGATGATTTTAGAATTGAGTGAGTTAAATTCATGAAATTCCTATGTTCATGACACTATATTTGATTAGGAATATATAATAGCTAGAGAGCATTTGATTCTTTAATTAATTTGTTAGAATGCAACAAAAATGTACATGTTTAATTTGGGCTCAAAATCAGTTATTTTGTACGTCATTAAATTCATCTTAAGAAGACATTCAACTTAAATGTTGTTGAAATAAAAAAAAAGGGTCAAAATTTATGTCTAACCAAATAAATTTTCTTATGTTATATTAATATTTTAATTTTTTTTGAATTAAAGGTTTATTTACAAAGAGATTTACGAGCATACTGCACAATTCCTAACATATCTATCATCTATATTTTGAATTATATACCTACACTATGTCCTAAAACACATATTTCACTTTTAAAAGTTGATAATATTTATATTTTTATATGATATTAAAAATTTAAATCTTAAAAATATAGAAAATTAACAAAGTCGGTGTTGGTTCTACATACAATTCATTAATAGTTTGTTTCCTATACGCTCTCTATTAACTTCGGGAAAAAAAAAAGTCCAATGAAGATAAAATATGAGAGCCACGCTCAATTTTTATTATAAAATAAAAGAGTTATAAAATGACATTAAAAAAACACATAAATACTAACAACAGACACACAAAATTATAAATAAAGAGGATAAAAAATAATATGAATGTAACAATAAAACAATTTTGAAACGCTCAAATAGTGTAATCAATAAGGTGTCAAAATAGTTCATAACTAGTTACATGAAGCCGTTTTAGTCACAGAGTTTATAGAGCAGTCAAAATAATTTTACATTTTATATGCTTGACTGTTAAATATACTATGATTGACAAATCACACTAATTTTTTTTTTCCCATCGAAGCTGAGCAAATTTCAACCAAGAACGAGCAAGAAGAACCAAAATTACAAGTACATCAATGTGGCATGCTAGATGGGGCATCCTTCCAATCCATCAAAATCTTCTCAAACACAATGCATCACCAAGACCACAAAATAAAGGGTTAAAATATCCCATTCCAATAAATACTAAATATGAAAGAAATATGTTAGAATCATAACTCACATAAGATGAAACAACCCACCAAGATGAAAAAAATATTACCTCATGAGTATTGATGCATCAATACTTCAATGAGGAGGTGTCACGTGGCATTATGATGAGACCATTATATACATGACACATTCCCATTGGAGTACTATGCTCCTGAGGTAATATCTTTTCACCAAATGTCTTTCTTTTTACAGATTTAAATTTTACAGTGTTAAATGTGTAAATGTAACATTAAAAACTGATTTGCTCGAAAGGGAAGGAGCAATCAAGCCCGTTTTCCCACGCTCTCCTCTGCCTGTTGTCGCTTCCTCCCACTTTCTTTCTCTCTGCTTCAGCATACTGCACTTGCTGCTTAGGTTTAGGGTTTCTCTCTCTCCAAGCTGGGAGTTTCCATCACCTCCTCCGATTATCCTCATTCTCTTCCTCGGCGACAGAACTCACAGTGCCTGCCCCGTTCAATGCATTGAGAAGTTGAAAGCTGAGTGCTTTTCTTACATTTTCTAAACTCTCGCACCGCGCAACGCCCTCGTTTGTCTTTCTAACGCATTCTTCTTCTTCTTCCTCTGCCAAGCAGTCGCGCTCCCTCCAAATCTTTCTTTTATTTTCTCAGTTTCTGCAAATACCTTACTGACAATCTTTCATTTCCTTGATTTTAAGCCAATGCCGGAGTAGCTCCTTAGGTTTTTAGTGAAAATGAGGTTCTTTGGTGGAACCCTAACTCTTATCCTTTTGCTCCTCCCCGTCTCCTCTCAGCTACCTTCTCAAGATATCATGTCCCTTCTCTCCTTCAAGAAAGGGATAATCCATGACCCCACTGGTTACATCTCTGACTCATGGAATGAAGAGTCCATAGACTTCAATGGCTGCCCTTCTTCTTGGAATGGCATTGTTTGCAGCGGCGAGAATGTCGCCGGCGTCGTGCTCGACAACCTCGGCATTTCCGGCACTGCAGATCTCTCGGTCTTTGCTAATCTCACCGCGCTTCTCAAGCTCTCCATGGCGAACAACAACCTTTCAGGCGCTTTACCGGGAAATCTGGGAAACTTTAAAGCCCTCAAATACTTGGATATCTCCTTTAATTTATTCCATGGAGAGATACCAAAAGATTTTGGGAAGCTTCAGAGCATCCAAAACTTATCTTTTGCTGGAAACAACTTCTCTGGTTCGCTTCCAGATTCCATTGGAGATATTGATTCAGTTAGATCTCTTGATATGAGCCATAACCATCTTTCAGGCTCCTTGCCTTCTTCCTTGAAGGCTCTCAAGTCATTACTGTCATTGAATCTTTCTTTCAATGAATTTGAGAAGGGGATTCCGACTGGTTTGGATGTGATTTCAAGTTTGGAATCCATTGATTTGAGCTGGAACAAATTGGATGGTGATGTTGATTGGGAATTTCTAATGCAGACTGGTGCTGTTAATATTGATTTCAGTGGGAATTCTCTCACAAGTTCTAATTCGAATGAGATGAAGTTTCTGTCTCAGGTATCAGATTCGGTTAAGTATCTCAATCTGAGCCATAACCAGTTGACCGGATCCCTGATTGATGGAGGCGAGCTTTCTACTTTTGGAAGTTTGAGAGTATTGGATTTGAGCTACAATCGGCTGTCCGGGCCGCTGCCGGGGTTTGATTATGTGTATGATCTTGAGATTCTTAGGCTTGGAAACAATGATTTTAATGGATTTCTACCGAATGGGCTGCTTAAAGGTGATACTTTGGTGCTGAATGAATTGGATTTGAGTGCAAATAATCTCTCAGGTATGGGTTTAGTTCACATTTAAGCTGATTTTTGTAGTTTTGTATAATGCAATCTTGGTGTTCTGAGAATTGTAAAGCTTTTGCTTGTTTGGTAAAAATATTGGGCGCTGGGGCTTGCTTATCTTTAATATGAAAGTTTAAAAAGAAGAAAGATTTATATGCATACCACTCAATTCTTGTGTATTTGCACATATAACACCTAAACTTCAATTTTTACACACACACCACTTGATTTATGCATGAAAAGCTGTATTTCACTCTTCAAAAAGTTATAGTAGTATTTTTTTATGTGATATGAAAGATTTGTGTGATATAAATGTAAAAACACTGTGTTTAGGTGTTAGATATGTAAATACATAGGAGTTTGGTGGAAATGAACAGGGAAGATCAATCTCTCCCATTTGGGCTTGGGAATACAACAAAGAGAATTAATTATAAGCAGACAGTTTTCCAGAAGGAAATTTGTTCATCTCTTCACTTTATATGAAGTTAAGAGAAATATTATTTCCCATTTCTAACATCATCCCTAAGTTATATATCTCATGAAAAAAATATGTTTTTTGAAAGTAAGAAAAACGTCACTTTTAACATAAATTCCTATCATCATATTGTTTGATCAAATTATGAACTAAAAAGGTTGCTTTGCTTACTACAGGGCATATCGGATTGATAACGTCAACAACGTTACGAATACTCAATCTATCCTCTAATTCAATAACCGGGGAACTTCCATTGCTTACCGGGAGTTGCACGATACTCGACCTTTCGAAAAACCAGATCAGTGGAAACTTATCAGTCACTGCAAAATGGAGTAATGATCTCGAGCACATTGACCTCAGCCAGAATCAATTGAGAGGACCTATTCCAGAAGTAACTTCGCAGTTTCTTCGGTTAAATTTTCTTAGTATTTCCCAAAACTCGCTCTTTGGGACTCTTCCTGAAGTTCTGGTTCAGTACCCTAAGATTACCATCCTTGATCTTAGCTCAAACCAGTTTAGTGGTCCTATGCTTCCTGATTTACTATCATCTTCTTCATTACACGAGCTTTATCTCCAAAACAATTTACTTGCTGGGGACATCAAGTTTTCTCCATCCTCACCCACCAGACCCAGCCTTCAGATTCTTAAACTTGGCAGAAACCATTTTAGTGGAAGTTTCCCCAACGATTTTGCTTTTTTAACTGGCTTACAATTGCTGGATATATCTGCAAACAATTTCTCTGGTAATTTGCCTCCCACTGTTACCAAACTAATTTCTTTGAATTCCCTGGACGTTTCCCAGAACCATTTCACAGGTCCTTTGCCAACAACATTGCCCAACACACTCATATTCTTCAATGCATCTTACAATGAGCTATCCGGAATTGTTCCGGAAAACTTGAGGAAGTTTCCGGATTCTTCTTTCTACCCCGGGAATTCGAAGTTGGTGTTTCCAGGTGGCTCACCTGGATCTGGCGGTTCGCTGTTTGGAAGCTCAACTCGCAAACATATGAGATCATTCATAAAAGCAGTGATAATTGCAGCTTGTATTGTTTTTTTTATCGTATTTATCCTCATTTTGGTTCTTGTGAGATGCAAGAGAATATCAAGTATATCCCAGACCGAGAGGGTTGTCGTCGACAAGAATTCACGTAGAAGGACAACACCCAATACTTCAAGGGGGAAGGGAAGCGATGCCGGAAGCACATTGGTTGTGTCGGCGGGAGATCTGATCACCCCGAGAAAAGAGTCGTCATCCGAGATAATCGGTTTGGAAGAGAAAATATCTGCAGGGGTAGGGCTTTCGCCATCAAAGAACAGCCGTATCTCATGGTCGCCTGATTCCGGTGAGACGTATATTCCAGAAAACCTAGCGAGTTTGGACGCTCGATCGCCCGATAGATTGGCCGGCGATCTACATTTCTTGGATGAGACCATAACCCTGACTCCAGAGGAATTGTCGAGGGCTCCGGCTGAAGTACTGGGAAGGAGTAGCCATGGCACTTCTTATCGGGCGACACTCGATAATGGTTTGTTCTTGACTGTAAAATGGCTGAGGGAAGGTGTGGCGAAACCGAAGAAGGAATTCACCAAAGAGGCTAAGAAGTTTGCGAACATTCGGCATCCAAATGTGGTTGGGCTGCGAGGTTACTATTGGGGACCTACACAGCATGAGAAGCTCATTTTATCGGATTATATTTCGCCCGGAAGCCTCAGTAGTTTTCTTTATGGTATTATGCTTCTCTGTCATGCTTACTTGATCATGCATTTTATGCAGTCATTTACATGTTCATATCATTCAATTCTCATACAATTATAATGTATTTAGATTTCTCACCTGAACTTGCATATTTCTATACTCATTGCACCCAAATCTTTAATATTATTGTAAAAAAATAGGAGATTTTACATATATGGCACTCGAAACATCCATATTTACATATTTCACACTCCAAACTTTTAATTTGCAAATAAGTCACCCAAATTACGGCTCGTCTACTTCGCCTATTTATAAACTAGAAGTTTGAAGTGTGAGATATGTAAAAATAGGGATGTTTTGGGTGTTATGTATGTAAAATCTCCTAAAAAATAACATTGATGTCACTTTTAAAGGTGAAATGTCTTTTCCATGCATGGGGTTTAAGCACTGAAATGCTATGCATTCAAATAGAGAAGTTTATAGTGTTTGGTAGCATAGTTTTAATAATGTTTAGCCATAGATTTTAGGGTCTGTTTGGGGCCTTTTTTTTATAGTTTTAATAAATGCAAAGAATGAATATGATAGATATGTAAATATGCCTTTCATGTAGGAGCTTTTCCATCACTATTTTAACTCATTCTTCCAGATCGACCGGGTAGAAGAGGGCCGCCTCTAACCTGGGCTCAGAGGCTGAAGATTGCCGTCGACGTCGCACGCGGCCTAAACTACCTCCACTTCGATCGCGCCATGCCGCATGGCAACCTTAAAACCACCAACATCCTGTTGGATGGCCTCGATCTGAACGCTCGAGTGTCCGACTACTGCCTCCATCGCTTAATGACCCCTGCCGGAACCACCGATCAGATCCACGACTCCGGTGTTCTTGGTTACTGTGCTCCGGAGCTCGCCGGATCGAAGAAGCCCGCTCCGTCGTTTAAATCAGACACGTACGCCTTTGGAGTCGTGCTTTTGGAGCTTCTGACCGGCAGATGTGCCGGCGATGTGGTCTCCGGCGAAGAGGGCGGAGTTGATCTGACTGATTGGGTGAGGCTGAGGGTTGCGGAAGGGAGGGGATCGGATTGCTTTGATGCGGCCATGGCTGCTGATACGGCGAACACGGCTGCTGTTAGAGGTATGAAGGAAATGTTGGGGATAGCTTTGAGATGCATTCGACCGGTTTCAGAGAGACCAGGTATCAAATCTGTTTATGAGGATCTCTCATCGATTTGATTTTTGTATAAAACCGCCTGTAGACCTTTTAAAGAAATTGCAGCTCTGTAGCCTCATCTCAAGGCTGTCAGTTTTAATTTTTAGCAGATCTTTTGATGAACTGTAGTTGGCCTTTATTGTTCTGTAATGAAAGTTTCTCTATTTATGAATATTATATATACCCCCAAAAGTAGCATTATGTAAAAATTAAAGTTTTAGGAGTTGATATGCAAAATACATAAGAATCGAATGATATGTATGTTAATAAATCTTCCTTATTTGAAATGCTAAAGAGAAGATTATATTAGGGGAGGGAGAGGGAGATGTAAGAATAACACTAGTGAAAACCAAGACGAGGCAATAGTACAATAACGAATAAACACTGAAATAATAGATTTAAGTTACAATTTTAGCTTGAAACCCCCTGGCAAACAACAATTTTACAAATCATGACTCTTCTTCATCCACACAGATGAGCTGGGGATAAGGATCATCGCATGGTACTTCGGCTTTTGCTTTTTGATTTGGAAAGTGAGTCAAGAAGTCTGAACATCCACCTATCAAGCATTCCTATAAAGAAAAAAAGTATCTAAATGAATGCTTTTGATGAACAAAATAATAATTAAAAAGTAATTAATAGAAACACTAAGGACCTGTGAGAGCAAATGTGCCACCCAGCACAGCACAAAGGCGAGTGATGAAATGTAGAAAGCTACGCCGTTCTTCCTTTATGGTAACAGCAATAGGAGAGAGATCATACAAGAAATATATAGCTGCGTCGTTAAAACAGAGCTGATTTATTAACGGAGAGATGAAATATTATATAAAAATGAAATAATTTAGGATAATCAAAGGATGTAAACCTGGCCAAGACCTTTCTTCATCCTTTAGGGGAACAAAATACTCGGCCACGGAAAATTGGTTTGTGGGTAAAACATCTTTATTAAGATACCGATACTCTGTTGGGACGATCTGTAGTATCACAGTGAACATTCTTCAGAATTAAGAATATAGTCTTGGGGCATTTACATAACGCCACCCAATTCCTACGAATTTACATATCTAACACTTAAAGTTTATTTTTTTACATTTATACCACTCAAATGTTTCATATGGCACCAAAAATACCCCCATTTTTTTAAAATAAGTGAAATACACCATTTGAATCATGGGTAAAGTGGTGTGTGTGACACTTTCCTCAATTTAAAACAAAGGATGACATTTTATCCAGTTGAAGTTGCAAGGTTGCATGAATAAATGTATAATTTAGCTCATTAAAGCTATAGATGCAAAACATGAAATTTCAGTTTTACCTTGATGTAATACTTGAAAGTTCCGCTAGCATCATGCAGGATCCGAGTGGTTCCATCGAGTGGATTGTGGATGCCAGGATACTTGGGACCAAATGACAAATCATGGATCATGTGACTAACATTTACATTTGCTGATCTCCCAAAAATCTAATAAAATTTTGAAATAATTAAGGAACAAGAAGAATCTTATAACAGAAACAAACTTATAAAACCATCACAACAGTGTAATTTCAGAAGAAAATAAAAGCCCAACATACAGGTATGATATTTACAGGATTATAGTGTTTGCACCAACTCCATTAAATTATGTTAAAATGGCATCAATACATCTAGCGCCCACAAATGTAGGGGAGCAAAGGCATTCCCTAGCTTAAGTTTGACTTGAATTATTTTAATTAAACCAAGAAGTGCGAGAATGGTCCCTTGATCCTTTATAAAGAGTTATTTCAGCCCAGAGTCTGTAAAAATGACAAGTTAGATATCAGACTCTTTTAAAAAGTAGAGACTAATTTGACACTTCTATATATTATTGAGCTAAAATATCTCTTTGCAAAGAGTCAAGAGATTATTTTAGCACTTTTTCCTCTAATTAAGTCACAGCTTAAGATCAAACAAAGATCTAAGTTTTAAATTTTGCTCAGCCATAAATTTTTTTTTATTTTAATGAGCTGTAAAGAACATTTTTAAGCTTAAATCAGTTTTAAATTAGGTGTAGATGAGATGAATAGATGCGACCAAACAATATTTTTAACATAAATGTGGTAGTACTATTTCTTATAGATTGAGCATATAGTCAATTTTGTTTTTTCAGTGACCATATAACATGAAAACAGAGAAGTTAGAAACCGATATAACATACTTCAGGAACAGCAAATAAAATGCTGTACCAATGCTAACAGAAACATATTCATAAAATCATAAACTAAGCACGAGACCACACATCTTGAGCTCAAGGCCTCCGGTGTGCCGAGTTAAAGAAAAAGAAACTAAAAATGATCCACTTACTCAAACCTACTGAATTAAAAAAAAAAAATGCCGTCATGTCCCCTTGTGGATTAATAAATCTCTCTTCCGCAGACACAAATTAAAAAAAAAATGCCTTCATTGTGGTCAATAACACGCAAATATCCAATTTTTTTTTTTTTAAAAAAACTCAATTAGGCAGACGCTCAGTGCGACATGAAGTCTAGTAGATGAACGGGGATAAAAGTGCAATTGCTTTTAACTAGGGAAAATTTACATACCTAGCGCACAATTCTTACGTATTTACATATCTCACACCTAAACTTTCATATATATATATATATATATATAGCAATTCGGTGCTTTAAACCTATGCATAAGGTGTATTTCACTTTTAAAATGTGATAATAGTATTATTATTTTTTTTGTGATATTAAAGATTCGAGTGCTATGTAAATATGAAAGTTTAGATATGAGATATGTAAATACATTACAGTTGTGGCTGATGTATGCAAATGCCCCTTGGAATAATGTTCCTTGTAGGGCTGCATGAAATAGCTACGTTTTTACAACAGGCTTAATTTGTTTCGCCATACATGCATGGAATTTGTGAGTTCAAGTGATTGTTTAATTGAAACTTGAGGAACTAAGTACTTGAAATTCAGCTTCTAAAAAAATGGAAGTGAGTTTTGTTCTTAAAGAAGAAGAAGCCACCTGCAATTTTTTTTTTTCTTTTAAAAAGCAATCGAATAATAATAAATTACGAAATGGCATACTTAAAAAAACAATAAAATTAAGTAAATTTAATTGTACACTCGGAAAAAATAAAATCCATTGCAGCCCAAGTGAATATAGGAACTAAAGTTAAGCAATAATAATAATAAAATCACTGCAACTCATTTCAAAGCGAAGACTTTCAGAACTAAGATTCAAGGACTTCCAACACTTGCAGCGAAACAAATTGCCCGTAAAATTTAAAGAGAGATTCAAATGCATGCCACTCAATTCCTATGAATTTAAATATCAAACAACTACACTTCAATTGTTGCATAAATGCCATCTTATTTATATATGGACAGTTGTATTTCACTATTTAAAAGTTAAAATGGTTGTATCTTTTATGCAATATGTAAGTTTTGGGTGGCAGATATCTAAAAAGTGAAGTTCTTGTTAAACATGTAAATGCATTTGAATTGGGTGTGCATGTAAATGCCCCAAAATTAAATCAGAATACCCTGCCAGTACAAAGAAATGAACCCGCTTCAACACTGTTAATAGAAGTTGGGGGAATAACCTGCTGAGCAACCAAAATGTTCAAACCATGGACGGATATATGGAAGTTCCCAGCGACCCTCTGCACGTCTAGTACACCAAATACCTGGCACAGAAATGACCCATACGCATCACTTAAAAATTATAGAACTTTATATGCCCAGTTATGGCACATGAATGGACTGGTAAATAATGCCATACCCTGCAACCTTGACCTTTTTCCAACGCCTGTTTCACATTCTCAATCATTTTCTTTGAATCAGAGCCAAAACTGACACCATCCCCATGTATCTTATGGGAAGAATCCTCATTATGATCTTTTCCGCCATCTGTTCAAATTTAATTAATTATGCCCTCATCATGAATATTGTTTTCTAGGTGATGTCATCACATTAGAAGCATCTTTTGATGAATAAAATATGCTAGGGCAGAAAAAGATGAGGAAAAGTATAATATCAAGAAAGTCGAGAGTACCGTGCTCTTGAGTTGAGTGCTCCTTCTCAACAAGATCTGTTAAGAACTCGGAGGTGCCCAAAATGTGACCGTTTTTATCCACATGGAGCTTCAGTGCAGATACAACAGGTCAGTATGCGGTGAACCATCAGTTACAGATCCAACTGTAGTAATGTATTAGGGATATTTACATACATACCACACAATCCCTGTGTATTTACATATCTAACACCTATATTTTGTTTTTTACATTTATACACCCAAATCTTTAATATCACACAAAAATACCACCATTTTAATTTTAAAAAAGCGAAACCTTTTTTTATGCATGGGTAAGGCGGCGCGTGTCTAAAAATTGAAGTTTTGGGGTTAGATATGTAAATACATAGGAATTGCGTTGCATGTATGTAAATCTTCCTATATGTTAGAGTAACTAAAATCTGTCGAAAGAAAAGAAAGCTATTGACGAAAATAAAAAGGGGTATTTACATACATACCACCCAATTCCTATGAATTTACATATCTAATACCTAAATTTTGCTTTTTTACATTTATACCAGCCAAATCTTTCATATCATAATAAAATACCACCATTTTAACTTTTAAAAGGTGAGATGCACCTTATCATGCATAGGTAAGAGGGTATGCATGTAAAACTAAAGTTTAGGGGTTAGATAAATACATAAGAATTGAGTGGAATGTATTTAAATCTTCCAAATAAAAAATACATGCTTAGTTAGTTATTCAGCAGCTTTTGGTGAGAAAAATGGGTACGAATAAAACTGCTTTGCAGGCAATCTAAAAATTGGTGTTTAGATTGAATTGGGAGCAAGTTAAAGCTTTTGTTACATATGCCCTCTATTGCCTCCGTTTTCCCTCAAATTCTCAGTTACTTCCAAAGGTATGTATAAGGAAGAGGCCTTCATTAAATGCATAGATGCTAACAAAGTCATGCCATGGATGGGGTCCTCTAGCCTCGTTCAAGCACATGGATGACAAAAACATGCCTGTCAACACCGAACATAACCATATCTCTGTAATGTAGACCACTTCATGCTATCAAGTCCTAATTGATGAAGAAGGCTTATCCAAGGCTTTATGATTTATGGCCAAAGATTCAAATTTGATGTTAAAAATAAGATCTCAAGCTCAAATTCATTTGAGTGAATCTCATGCCAACCCAATTCTTGTTAAGGGTTGACTCAATCCAGTCATGATTTGAGCCATACATGGCTCATTAACTTTGAGTTAAAACAAAGCCAACCCAATCGCGACCAATTTACCATCGGCAAATCATATGTTTAAAATTCATGAATGGCTCATTGACTTCAATACGAGATTAGATTGAGAAAAAAACCAATCCGCTAATCGAATGATCTCAAACATTGCATTAACTTACCAACCATAGTAAAAATTGCCCACAAACACATGTGCAGTGAATTAATGATGGTTGAAAATAGGTTTATTAATATATTGCCCACTATGAATCACAAGAGATACAACAATCGTTATATTGTCTAGCTGGTTTCTTTGTCATTCTATCCCCTTTTGGAGCCCAATTATACCAGATGATTCTAACTTGCAATCTAATCTTATAGCATTTGGCAAAGGATCACTTCGTGCAATAAAATACTCTAAAAGCCTAGGCAAATGTAGAAGCACAACAAACATTTATAGCCAAATGTCTAGCTACTAATAAATCACAACTCAAATGCAATGCCATGAATCGCCCATCATCATTAACTACGAATTATATGATGACAGACATTAAATCCTCAGAATATACCGCACTTATTCTCTCCCCCTTGCAATCCTTATTTACACCACCAGCAATTTGATCACAAAAATGTTAAAAAAACACATAAAAAAGGCCACTTAGCACTACCAATTATTCCGAAAATTGGGTTGATTAGAAGTCCTAATCTAGCCTTTATAGCCAAAGATTCAATTGCAAGCAGACCCACGAGTACAGTTAATTAACACCACTATGACTAAATCGTTAATTGTGAATGAATAAAGGTAAACGGCTCAATCATATAAAATCAACAGTAGTTATTATCAAATCTTCAAAACATCCAAAATTTTAGTAGTTGCAGCACCAAATGGTGCTTATGATCCATAATAATCATTTATTGTTACAAGTTTTAAGTCCAAATGCACATCTAAATGCCCAAGTGGGAAAAATTACAAAGATAGTTACGAATACGGAATAAGTGGCTAAATCATGGACAGACACTTGACCATAGTTGAAGATTGAGTCATGGGCAACATGGATTCAACATACTCATGAATATGTGGGTATCCAAACCCAAAACTTTGGAAGTAAAACATTCATTGCATCTTCCCCATTAATCCAAACTTCTGAAATTGGTGAGACCAATTGATCCTCCTTCACAAACTTAAGAGCACAAATGACAATGATAAGCACATATGCTCGATGGTATGGTCTCTCATTCAGTAAAATGGCAATGACTGGCAGTGTCATCGGTGGCAAGTTTGGCAAAGTTTGGGTACAAATGAGCTAAACATAGCCGAATATTGCCCCCATTCAAACTTGCCTATTACTTCATTTATCAGGATCATGCAAATATTGAAAACAAACCAAGTTATAGAGCTTGTTCGTTGCTTAATTCTTGCATCAGATAAGAACGTTAGATGGGATGAAATAACCTATTTATCGAAAATGGTTAAGACAAAGCTATTGTTAAACTTAAAATAACTCACTTAGTATCTATTTATTTTATTATCTTTCTGAAATAAAAAATAACTCTACAATGATTTGTCCATGATAAGTGACTTTTTTAACTTCTACCTGGACTAATACATGTCACTTCAAGTGCATAGGATGTGATAAATGAAGTTAAATTAAGTTGAATCAATAAACAAGTAAGCAACTTATTAATTTAAATACCACACGTTATAAATCATGTTCAAACTTTTTTAGTTAATGAAGTAAATCAAAGTAAATTAGCTAGTTAAGTGTCAGGCTTCTTTACAGATCCTGTTTTTTCTTATAGATAAATTATCTTTCTTCTCTCTTTGCTTTCTCTGAACTTGTTCTGTTGTTACATTCAATCACAATCTCTTAAAAGGTCTTTCTATGGACAACGATACAGCATAAAACTAGCCCAAATTAGCATCAGAGATGTTGGAATTATGGCTGAAAAAACAGGTGAATTCATTGAGGCATTAGACAAAAATAGATGCTAAGTTACCCCTGCATTGCATTTGATATCTTCAAACTTTGTAGGTCATCTATATTTTAATTTTCCTTTTATTGGAGGTTATGAATGATAATAGCCTGACTAAGAAAGACTCGTCACATTTACATTCAAAATTGTTGGGATGATGTGACATTTTCCTTCTCTTTTTCTACTCAATAAAGTTATTCATCATTTCTGAGGAACTTCTTTATCAACAATTAACGGCCACGTTGAAAGTAATATATTCTGAGAAAGCAAAAACACAAAGGCTGAAATCTGCTATTTCTCAGAAAGCAATCTATAGCCCCTTAACATATATTGTACAGACTGTTCAAGTAGCATCTATCATATAATGAGCAAGTATGTTATGATATTTATGTTAAATGGAAAGAATAATTTACCAATTAAAGCATTTAAGGACGACCTAAATAATTTGCCTCACATTGTATGGTTAATAAGCCATAAAAAGTTATTCCTAGCATGGATACAATGGCAGCCATGTAGAAATAAAAAACTTCTAATCACACAAGTATTTGTTACTTGGTTTCAAGACTTGCACATCACATCATTAATGACAAACATTCTCCGGTTTAAAATAGTTCTAGTTTGTCGGCCGTTTTTATGTTCAACTTGACTTTCGTAGTTTGAAAAGGTGATGATTTTGTGATTTTGAAAATAATTTAAATATAAATATAACTTTTTGAAAGAAGTAACTTTTTAATTTTTAAAATAAGTGAGACCAAACGAATCTCACATTTTCAGATAGTTTAGATGATTTAACGCAATACTACAAGCAATACACTTATCCCGAAGAATAAATATATTACTTGTAATAGGGATTTAATCATCTAGACTAAACAATTTGTGACATCCGTTTTGATCTGCGAAATATTTTTATAAAAAGGCCAACAAGTTCCCCTATCTAACATAAAAATTAGATAGGGTTTATTTTATCTGGGTTCCTGGTTCCCTATAGAGGCAAGCCCCTATAGTTAATTACATCTTAAATGATCGAAATCACTTAAGATAACTCTCGATTAAGATCAGGTGGTTTTGTTTTCAAGATTTCAAAGTTAGGTTTTCACGATTGGACATGGGAAAATCAAATAAGAATGACTCAAAATAGGAACAATTATTTTAGGAATTCAAATGAAAGAAAAGTA